AGCCTGCATACGCATATTGACTCCTTTTGTTAGACTCTTGTGAATTCTTTGATCCTCTATTCGGCTTTTCTTCCCGAATGCCCAACAGAGCATCAAGGGCTACTGTATATGCGGTAACATTATTTAAACATTCTTTACTTACCTCAAAGCCTGTTAAAAGGCTAGTGCAAGCTTCAGTCAGTCCGCTCTTGGCGGACTGAACCTTCTGGACCACCGCACTAATAATAGTGCGGTGTCCCTCGTCGATGGAGGCGCCTTCGAGCACCTCCAATAGATTGTCCGGCGCCCCCGGTTGGACGGGGGTCACCGGCATGGTGGGCTTGTTCCTCTTGGAAGGAGGTCACCCGCCGGACTCTGGAACCTTTTAGGGTTCCGGAGCAGCGTCCGGCCTTGGGCCGGACTTGGAGCCCTGGGGGGTTTCATCCCCTTTACTCCTGGAGTCCGGGAGGTCGCCTTGCGGCGCCTCCAGGACCACCTCCTCCCGGCTTGGAACCTGTTGGGACAACACTTCGGTGTCATCCGTAGGGCGGGGGGGTGAAGCCGTCGGAAGCGAGTTCACATCCGACGGGTCCAGTGAGCCGCTCGACGTTGCATCGAGCCGGTCTTTGGGTGGGCTGCATAAACATATTCGACATAAGGGAAAGTTGTGCAAAAAACGAATACTATGAATTACTCTGGTATCCGGACACTTACGATTTCACCAGGGGCTTGGCCCTGGGCTGCCACTCCTCTTCGTCATCATCGGCGTCGATGGAGCAGTCCGGAGGAAGGGTTTTCCCCTTCTTGGACCCTCCGGCCTCCTCAGAGAGGGCGGCCTTCCTTTTCTTCTCTCCTCCCGCTGGAGGGGGAGAGGCCTCTTCTTCTTCCTCCTCGTCTTCATGAGAGGAAGGCGCTTCGGGACCGTCGGATGATGAATCCGACACCTCCTGGCGTCGGGCACTCTTTCGAGTCCCCGTGGCCCTTTTCGTGGCCTTCTTCTCCGGCACCACATAGGGCGCTGGGACCAGCAGCTTCGCCAAGCGAGCGTCCGCTGGGCCTTCGGGCAGAGGAGCCGGACAGTTGATCTGTCCGGACGTCACCACCCAATCCTATCAAAGATAAGGGAACTCAGATCCCGCATAGAGTCAAACTATGAAAAACTGATACCCTGTAAAAGGACAAAAACAGCTTACCGCATGAGCGTGATGCTGAGTACTGAATCCGCGATCCTCGGCAGCGGATGCGAGAGCCTCGGCGCCCTTGAAAAGCATCCTCCAGGCATCTTTGTACGTCATGTCGAAGAGCCTATTTAGAGTTTGATGTTGCGCCGGGTCGAACTCCCAGAGGTTGAAGGCCCGTCGTTGACACGGGAGGATCAGGCGGATGAGCATAACCTGGACTACGTTGACAAGCTTGAGCTTCTTGTCCACCAGGGTTTGGATGCATGTTTGGAGTCCGGTCAGCTCTCCTTTTTTACCCCAAGACAGGTCTGTCTCCTTCCAGGAGGTGAGCCGCATAGGGGGGTCGGATCGGAACTCAGGGGGTGCGACCCATCCGGCGTCGCGCGGCTCGGTGACGTAAAACCACCATGATTGCCACCCCTTCAGGGTCTCCACAAAGGAACCCTCGAGCCACAGAATGTTGGCCATCTTGCCAACCATGGCACCGCCGCACTCCGCCTGGCTGCCGCACACCACCTTCGGCTTGATGTTGAAAGTCTTTAGCCATAGGCTGAAATGGGGGCGGATGCGGAGGAAAGCCTCGCACACGACGATAAACGCCGAGATGTTGAGTACGAAGTTTGAGGCCAGATCGTGGAAATCCAGGCCGTAGTAGAACATGAGCCCCCGGAAAAATGGATGCAGAGGGAAGCCCAGTCCGCGGAGGAAATGGGGGAGAAATACCACCCTCTCATGGGGCCTAGGAGTGGGGATGAGCTGCCCCTTTTCGGGGAGCCGGTGCGCGATGTCGCTGGCTAGATATCCAGCCTTCCTCAGCTTTTTTATGTGTCCCTCCGTGACGGAGGAGACCATCCACTTGCCTCCCGCTCCGGACATGACTGGAGAAGGTTGAGGTGGTAGTGTGGACTTGGGCGCTGAAGCTCGAGTGCGCAAGAATTGATAGGCAGAGGAGGAAGAAGGCGTGGGTGAAAAGGTGGATCCTTATCCCCTTATATGGGTGGACGCGACTATGTGTCCCCACCAGTCTGGTAAAACTTGCTTATCTCCAAGTGCCGTAATCAAAGGCGTGGTTGGGTTACCCACGCCCGTATTGATGAGAATCCCGAAATGAGGGGACACGATCTCTGCTTCAACAAGACGTGCCAAGGAAACCGCCTCGCACAACACGCTGAGGTGGGATAATTAAACGGATAAAGGCTTGGCCGTGGCGTGTCGCACCACGGAATACGTCAGCAGATTAGATTTGTGTTAATATTATTATTTTCTCTATAGCAATATGTGGAAACATATTTTGCAGAGCCGGACACTATCTTTGTGTTCAATATCTTCTATGAAGTACTTGGAGGAGGAACCCGCCTTGCAATGCCGAAGACAATTTGCGCGCCGGACCCGTCGTCATTGAAGCCTGGTTCAGGGGCTACTGAGGGGGTCCTGGATTAGGGGGTGTTCGGATAGCCGAACTATACCTTCCGCCGGACTCCTGGACTATGAAGATACAAGATTGAAGACTCCGTCCCGTGTCCAGAAGGGACTTTCCTTGGCGTGGAAGGCAAGCTTGGCGATACGGATGATCAGATCTCCTACCATTGTAACTGTCTTTATGTAACCCTAACCCTCTCCGGTGTCTATATAAATCGGATGGTTTTAGTCCGTAGGACAACATACACATCAACAATCATACCATAGGCTAGCTTCTAGGGTTTAGCCTCTCTGATCTCGTGGTAGATCAACTCTTGTAATACCCATATCATCAATATTAATCAAGCAGGACGTAGGGTTTTACCTCCATCGAGAGGGCCCGAACCTGGGTAAAACTTCGTGTCCCTTGCCTCCTGTTACCATTCGGCCTAGACGCACAGTTCGGGAAACCCTACCCGAGATCCGCCGGTTTTGACACCGACAAACGTCATTGCCTTCTTCTTCATCACCATCACCTTTGACATAGATGTCATCGTCTCCATGCCACGAGTCACCATGGTCATAGTCAGCACGGTCGTCGGCCTCTTCATCGGGCACGTACTGGGCACGGCCATCCTGACTTTGGGTCTCCTCGGGGTCGTAGGCACGGCCATGCCCACCCTCGAAGATCACGTCCTTCATGTACTGGTTGTAGAAGGGGTCGTCGACCGTTGGCGTTGGTGTTGGCATTCCGTCAAACAAGATGCGGGGGGCCGGCATGGTGCCCGTGAATGGTGCCCGTGCTTGCTTTCTTTGCATCTCGACGGACGACCTGCCGCCGCTGCTGGACCCAGGCGTGACGTTGAGGTCGATGACGGTTGCGGGACGCGGTGTGGACGGCGTGAACAAGCCCACGTCCGGCGACCCCGAGAAACGGGTCTGGTCGTTGTGCCTTGGCGGAGGAAAGCCGGGCGACATGGGCGCGGTCCGCGACGTCGGCGACTGACAGTGCGGAGGCCGGGCGCCCATCCTGTGCTCGCGGGGTCGGCGGCCACTGCAGGGAACCTGGGCGGACGGCCCATGCCAAACATGAGGAGGGCGTGCGCTTTGTTGACGAGGTCCTCCTTCTCGTCGACCGCGGCACTGCGCCGCGTGGCCTCCATCGCATGGGCGGCGAACTTGGCCGCGGCGGCATTGACCTTGACAACCGCTCTCCGCTCCCTCCTCTTCGCCGATTCCGCGTCCAATTTGACGATCTCCTTCGGTGTGCACTCCGGCCGCGGCTTTCTTGGCGCCTTGGTTGCCTTCCTTTTCACCTTTGTGGGCGGGTCGACGGCCAGGCCGCCGGAATTCGGCGGGGCGTCGGCCATGGACGGGGGAGAGAGGGGGTGGGCGGGAGGGACGTGGGAGGGTTTGTGGAAATGACGCCAAATGGGACGTGAGGGGGTTGGTTTCTCCCACCGACAGGCGGACCAGGGGAGGACAAGCGCGCGCGTCCCGCCCGTCCGCGCGCTGTCTGTTTCACCCCAAAACCGACGCAAACTTGAACCACGGATGGGTCGAAAACGGACACGAAACAAACAAATATCCGTTTGCGCCCGCACGTTGGACGTCTGATTTATTCGTTTTACCCCAAACAGACAAGATAGAGTTGCGCGGTGGGGTTGGCCTAACTTCCTGAATCGCGGAGTCAGTTCTGCGGAATCAGGGAGTCCACTCATTCCAGGATAACCCAAGCTAGTGCGTGCCACTGTACGTAGCCGTCGACGCAACGGGAAGGAGCCAGCCGTGGCCTGCACTTGCACAAACGACACCGCTGTCATGTCACGCAGATTTACTACCTACCTGCAAGTTCGGCGAATGGCGGCACACCACGCTAACGAAATAATACTGCCTATCTCAGTTTACAGGGCGTCCACGTGCCTCTAGATCATTAATTTGACCAACCTAATACAAATCATATATTATAAAAAATATATTAATATAAACTTCAGATGTTTTATTTTCAAACCGTATAATTTTTATGTTATATAGTTTGGGTGTGTCTAGGGCACATCTAGATGTACTTTAGTTATTGCATATCTAAGTGAGTGAGTCAAACATAAAGAGGAAAAAAAAGAAAAGAAAAATATCCACGCGCATCTCGACGTAAGATCAATAACATAGAACTTAGATGTGCAATACTTATGGCACATCTAGATGTGCTCTAGCAAAACTGATATAGTTTATATTAAGCTGATAAAATTGATAACCTAGGTATACACATAGTAATACTAGACATACAAAAAGTTACACGCAATTAATACTGACTCGTTGGCTTTCCCAAAACATCAAGACGACTGATTGGCCGCTGGGAAATCTGTGAACTCCAAGGAAAGCATCTCGCAGCTGGGAAATCTTGACCCTCCTCCATTGCCGAAGCTTAATTTCCGGACACCTGAGATGGAGACCAAGGACGGCGGCAGGATGCACGTCGTGATGCTGCCATGGCTGGCCTTCGGCCACGTGCTCCCGTTCACGGAGTTCGCCAAGCGCGTGGCCCGGCAGGGCCACCGGGTCACCCTCCTCTCCACGCCGAGGAACACCCGCCGGCTCATCGACATCCCGCCGGGCCTCGCCGGCCTCATCCGCGTCGTGGACGTCCCGCTGCCGCGCGTCGACCGCCTGCCGGAGCACGCCGAGGCGACCATCGACCTGCCCTCCGACGACCTCCGCCCGTACCTGCGCCGCGCCTACGACGCCGCGTTCCAGCGCGAGCTCTCGCGGCTGCTAGAGGAGGAGGCGAGGCCGGACTGGGTCCTCGTCGACTACGCGTCGTACTGGGCGCCGGCGGCCGCGGCGAGGCACGGCGTGCCGTGCGCGTTCCTCAGCCTGTTCGGCGCCGCGGCGCTCAGCTTCTTCGGGAGCCCTGAGACGCTCCTCGGCCTCGGGAGGCACGCCAAGACGGAGCCGGCGCATTTGACGGCCGTCCCCGAGTACGTCCCGTTCCCGACCACCGTCGCGTTCCGCGGCTACGAGGCGCGCGAGATGTTCAAGCCAAGGATGGTCCCGGTTGACTCCGGCGTGTCGGAGGACTACCGGTACGCCAAGACCATCCAAGGGTGCCGGCTCGTGGGCATCAGGAGCAGCACGGAGTTTGAGCCTGAGTGGCTGCAGCTGCTCGGCGAGCTCTACGAGAAGCCGGTGATCCCGGTCGGCCTGTTCCCTCCGGCGCCGCAGCAAGACGTGGCCGGCCACGAGGCGACGCTGCGCTGGCTGGACGGACAGGCGCCGGGCTCCGTCGTGTACGCGGCCTTCGGGAGCGAGGTGAAGCTGAGGAGCGCGCAGCTGCAACGGATCGCCCTCGGGCTGGACGCGGCCGGGCTGCCTTTCATCTGGGCGTTCCGCGCGCCGACCGACTCCACCTCCGGCGGCCTGCCCGAGGGCTTCGAGGAGCGGCTCGCCGGCCGAGGAGTCGTGTGCCGAGGCTGGGTGCCGCAGGTGAGGTTCCTGGCCCATGCATCAGTCGGGGGGTTCCTGACGCACGCCGGCTGGAACTCGATCGCCGAGGGCCTGGCGCAGGGCGTGAGGCTGGTGTTGCTGCCGCTGGTGTTCGAGCAGGGCCTCAATGCCAGGAATCTTGTGGACAAGAAGGTCGGCGTGGAGGTGGCGCGGGACGAGCAGGACGGGTCGTTTGCCGCGGACGACATCGCGGCGGCTCTGAGGAGGGTCATGGTGGAAGACGAAGGCGAGCAATTCGGGGCCAAGGTGAAGGAGCTAGCCAAAGTGTTTGGAGACGACGAGGTGAATGATCAATGCGTGAGAGAGTTTCTCAGTCACCTGTCGGAGCACAGCAAAAAGAACCAAGGATAGGGCTGAAACTTTCAAATTTCATCAACTATCTTTCAGTGAAGTGAAGCATGCTACATGCGATTTCCAAAACCGATCGCCATTACAAATTTACAACCCCATAAACCGTGCTACTCCTTTGATAGGAAAATTGAACAAGGGGGTGTGTAGTGCGTACAACCAAAAGGTCAAAATTAGCGGGGTCCCTTCCAGCCAAAATTTCCACATCGCAGGAAGGTGCCCTAGGACCGTGGCGAAGGATAGTTGTGCCACGGCATCCTTCTTACCAAGTGACACAACATTGTTGTCGAATGTTTATATTTCAATAGCTTGCTGTCTTTATCCCCATGCATCAAAAGCTTTATGTTTTTGGGGACCATCATGGCATGCCTCTGCACGAAATATCCTTGCTCGAGCTCCTGTGACAAAGCATGTTCGCTTGACAGGTCAGAACTTTCTAAAACCACATGTGCCGTAATATATTGACCAAAAGGTACTATACTACTAACCAACCTTGTGTTGCATAATGGAAATTGGTAAATGCTATGAACGCATCAGGTGGAACTTCAACAGCAGAAACGGAAGTACAGTATGAACTTACCGGAATGTCAATGATATCACCAGCGGCAAAAATATTAAGCTGGCCTTTCACTCTTAGATTTACATCAACCATCAATCTTCCATCATTGTCCAAGCAATCTTTCAGCTCAGAACCTCTAATCCATGATGAACTCAGTGGTCTGTCGAGGCACGAGAAGCAGCAATCAGCTGTTATCTCTATCCCCGACGACGTCCTGTAGAGCCTGTCTCCCTCTGACATGGACTCTAGATCGATCGACTGCTCCAAATAAACTTCAACATTCTTTGATCTCAGCCAAAGCAGTGCCTTACCACCAGCTTTTTGACCAACAGATTCCAACAACCTTGGTCTGTCATGAACCAGTGTCACCTTGTTGTCTGGATAATTCACAGCTATTTCAGCAGCAAGCTCAACGCCTGATGGCTCACCCCCAACAATAAGAATCGAATCGGAATATTTTATCTTCACGTCATCTGGAAATGTAAATGAGATCAGATACTCAAGAGCTAACAATATCCATCACAAAGAACAAGTCATACCCAGGAAACATTCACTGTGTCGTATGCAATAGTTGCATAGTAGTTTACATTTTCAAAGGGTATACAATAGCCTAGATTGATTGTAGGCTTGTGTCTAAGCACTGAGTTATGGCATTTGTTTGATATGTGCTAGAGTAGACACGTCCATTGGAAAATAAGAAAGTCATAATTGTTTTGTAGAAATAAGGAAGTCATAGTTGTTTTGTAAAAACATTTTTGTTGCTACATATAACATATCAAACGATATGGGTTTCACTTTTCCAACGAGTAAGGTGTAGATATAATTTTATATGGTTTGTCTAAATAACTATCAGTGCATCAAAATGATAGACAAGCGGATATAAAAAATAAACTTATGAAAATAAAGCAACAATTAGGTGAGCATGGTGGCTTGCCTTCTTGAAACTGTTCTAGTCAGTCTCTCCTGTTTCGTGGACACTGATTTGTGTGACCTGCGGCTATGACAAGGTATGTGTACTCCACCAAACGACCCTCTGTTCTGATCACAGCCTCTCCACTTATATCAGCAGCAGAGGCTGTAATGACTTGACCGCTCAAGTAATCACTGTGGTTAATTAATGATTTCTCAGCAACAGATGGCTCCACCTTTGATCTCATGTTAGTCCATGGAATTTCAAGGTACTCCTTCCTAAAATAAAGCAAAAGAAAGGCGTTCAATTATATTTTGGTTCAGATGAAGAGAGTACAACTTGGGGTCATGCACTTATGCTGTCACTCTTCAAATATTGCTCTCAAGAAAAAAGTCTCCAAATATGTTAAATAGGATTAGGGGCTTGCCCAGCATTCCTCCATTGGAAATTACGACTTGTGAGTTTAAAGCACACATGGTGCAAAGCTGACGAGTGACGACGAACATAGACCATTTTTTGGAGACTACACACTCAGAGTATTTAACCAAAAACTACCACAATTCATGGAAACGTGCCCAGAAACTACCACTTCACAAATTTGTGCCGAAAACTACCACTTTTTGCCTAATCTTTGACTAAAAACTACCATGTCATGAAAGTGCCCGATTCGCCTCTTCTAAACACCTTTCTGACAGGTGGGACCCACACATCATCACCAACCTTCTTCTTCCTCCCCTCCTCTCTCTCTCTGACATTTCAACAAGCATCTCTTGTGCATGGGACGGAAGCAGGGGAGCTCCTAGACACCACTCCCCCTGAGCTCGCTCGCACGCCGCGGCCGGGAAACACCACCACCAGGCACCATGGCCTCCTCCTTCCTCTCCCTACGCCTTCCTAGCCCCTCCCCGCCCACCGCGACGTCGTCCCCATTCTTCCCGAATCCCCTAGTCCGGTCTGCAAGGTGCAGTACGATGTCCTCCTCCACCTCGTGCGCCTCCTCCTCGGCCGCCGCGTCGCCTCCCCCATCACCTTCTTCACCACCCCACGCAACGCGCCCTTCATCCAGGTCGGGCTCGTCGGCGCCGGAGCCGCCGACATCGTCGAGCTTCCGTTCCCCTCCAAGGACGCACGGCAGAGCACGAACGAGCTCCTGTCCTCGATGCATCTCGCCGACTTCGTCTCCGCGGTGGCAGCGCTCAGGCCGGCGTTCGTGGACGCGCTCGCATCGACATCGGCTCGTCACCCTCGGCATCGGCGGCTTCGCCTCGTACATCTAGCGTCCATCCCGTCGCTGGAGGAGGAACTGAGTCGGGTGACCTCCAAGCTCGCCGCGGCGCAGGCAAGAGCGAGGGACAGCGAAGAGGAGAAGAAGAAGACGACGGCCGAACAGCTAGACAAGGCACGGCGAGAGACGGAGCGAGCCAAGGCGAGCGCACGATCGATGCAGGAGGAAGTCGCCGCGGGCAGGGAAGACACGCGCGTGGCTAGGGTGGCGGTCCAGGCCAGGGAGGCGCGGCTGAAGGCCATGTCGCGGGAGGTGCTCGCCGCGAAGGCGTCGGCGGAGACCGCCGCGGCCGGTGCAGGAGCAGCACCACCGCGCCGCCCATGGACTCGCCCAGCAGGAACCGAGGCAGCGGCGTGGCTGGAAGGTCGCAAGCACACCGTCATGGCCAGCAACAACTCCTCGCCGATGTCCTAGGCCGCCGACTGGTGCCATGGTGAAACTCACGTGCTTCCCTCCCATGCACTGAAAGTGTTTGTTAAAATGCCAGAGAGAGAGAGGAGGAAGCTCGTTAGCCCTGACGGGAGGGCCCCACTTGTCATAAACGTGTTTCAATCTTCTAAACCGATCATTTTCCGAAAGTGGTAGTTTCTTACCACGGGTTAGTAAAAAATGGTAGTTTTTGGCACAAATTTGTAAAGTGGTAGTTTCTAGGCACGTTTTCATGAAATGTGGTAGTTTTTGGTTAAATACTCACACACTCAATACAATTGTAAGTGGGTAATGTTCACTGTTATTTTTTACCCAATCAAGTTACATGCACCGAAGTAGTTAAGGTAGACAAATCAGTCGGCATTAATTTTGTACGGACACCTCAAGCAGGATGTGATATAAAAATATATCGGGCTGTTGAAACAAAATCTGGATGGAGATATTATTTAGGGACTATTTTTGTTACAAATTTGCCCCTACTAACTACTAACGTGTTTGCCTTTAAGGTTCACAAACATCTTATTTATAAGGAGTATATCAACCAAAGACCCCAAAGTGGTGTCTAATGTGGTAACTGTAAAATGTTCTATACATAACAGGTAACCAAAGTCTATTCACACCTCCGTTTTAAAGCATCACACCTCCGTTTTAAAGCATCACACCTCTTTTTTGACTCATTCATTTTGTTTTGGATTCAAAATAACTAATTTTCTATATATTGTGAGCACCCAATGTACAAAGTAACACAGCCTTGGAAACAGTGACGGATATTCCGATTCATAAGGTTCTGTTTCAATGTGGAAGTAGTGGAATAACTGAATATCTGCATCGAGTCGATCAGGACTTCACCCCAAAAAACTAAAAAAATGATCACTATTATCCGAGCATATGCAGATATACAGGTCACATCCTCCCGACACCATTGAAATGTTAAACAGTGAGATTTTAGATATTTATTCGTGAAAAAAACTGGTGAGGGTTCTGATTTGCAAACCAATTCTTTTTTTAGTAGTCCAGCAAATCAATTCTTATTTAACAAGTGAAAGATCAATCCAGCAAATAACAACCAATTCTTATTTAGCAAGTCAATATCTCGTATTCTCAACAATCTAGCGGGGACTATATTTGGGCATAACTAATGTTAGCGACTTAGCGTGGCATCTGAATCATGGGGTTAATTGATGGATTTATCTGGATGATGCGCGAAAAAGCAATCAGCAATGCGCACAGTTACATCAAGCACGCCACAGTTTCGGCACCAGCTTATCAACAATCTCACGATATAACTCATCGTTTAGCCATAGTTTTGGGGATAAATTGTGGCACAGGCGTAAGAAGATATGTGTAGAGAGCGCTTACGGGTCGATTATGACGACGTCGGCGTAGCTCTGGAGGGAGTTGGCGATGAGCGCGCCGGCGACGCCGCCACCGACAACCACCACGACCGCCCGCCGGCTCCTGTAAGGATGGATCCATCCGGCACCGCCGGCCATCGACCACGGCCGGCGAGCGGAGGAGCGGGAGGAGTAGTGGCCGGTATGCAGCAGCGGCTCCCGGTGGTGGCGAGTGCTGCGCCCCGGACGGGTGGTCGGGGTCGCCATTCTTAGGAACAGGGCAGTGGGGGTTCCGGTGCCTTTGCCGGGGACTGCCGATGGCTCCCGCGACCACGAGGATTATTGTCTTTTTCACAACGGGGCCCCTGTTTTCCCGGTGAAACAGAAGCGAAGGTTCGCGTGTCCTGTTTGCTGCGACATCTCTCGGGGGCCTCTTTGATTGATTAAACGAAATGTGCATTTTCCAAATGTTCTGATTTTGTTTTCAGATCCGAACGCATTCAATCCCGTCCGATCTGAATCGGACGTTTCGCAGCCTCCCACGCGATACCTGCTCCATCTAATCACGTGTGAGATGATGGCCGTTTCCTGTTCTCTCTATGGCAAGTGGGCCCGCGCCGTTTCTTTCTACAATCGCCGG